CTTTGACAACAAAAGGGGCGAACGCGATTGCTATGGCGAACACAAAAGAGAACTGGAACTAAAATTACACTGGTCTACAAGGGTTTTGCGAATAAGACGGGACCTGGTGTTTCCGAACGGATTTTTCGTGCTGAACACGAATCTGGGGTCCAAAACTTCCCATCACGTCACGTTTTCGAGAAAAAAGGGGTTGAAACCCCTAAAAACAGCGTTTTTGGCCATTTTTGAAAAATTGTAGAGCTGAACCCTGACGTGCTACAAACTTTGTATATGTCAGAAATTAAAGGCTAAATCGTGCCCTTTCGAATGAGCCCTATGCCGAATTAATCGCATGCACCCTTAGATCAGGGGGTGTATTTGTGTCTAGGAGTCCAATTTTTATATCCACCATATTCGACCCGTCATCTTAAATTTTTAAAATCTAACTGCAGATTCGTAATCAGCGACTTTTAATATAGTTAAAACCTTGGCATTATTAATTTTCTATGATCGTTTAAGATTAAATTCTTTCTGTGATCAATTTTTCCTGCACCCCTAAACACAAATACACCCCCTGCTTTAAGGGTGCACGCGATCAATTCGGCATAGGGCTCATTCGAAAGGGCACGGTTTAGCCTTTAATTTCTGATATATGCAAAATTTGTACCACGTCAGGGTTCAGCTCTATAATTTTTCGAAAATGGCCAAAAACGCTGTTTTTAGGGGTTTCAACCCCTTTTTTCTCGAAAACGTGACGTGATGGGACATTTTTGACCCCGGGTTCGTGTTCAGCACGAAAAATCCGTTCAGAAACACCAGGTCCCGTCTTATTCGCAGAAAAAAAGTTGAAATTTGTAGACCAGTGTTATTAGTTTCATAACAATATCGATAACAAAAATGTAACGACTAAAATATCTATAGTTATCAATTTCCGTTGATATCTTCTATTATTGATATAGCCCTCTTATTATGCGATCGATAAATAAATTAATTCGTTAATACTGTGACTATAAAAAGTAGAAAACGAAAAAACAAAAGTTAACATGAATTAAAAAAATTATTTTCATAAAAACAATTATAACAATAAACGATAAATATGTCAATGAAAAATATCGATAGAACTTAACAGCCGCATCAATAAATATTTCGATAAACACTTTTAATTATACTGTCGATAAATAAATTAGTAAAATCTTTTTTATAATACATATATCGATAAAAAAGATCGACTTTATATTTGAGAATCGTAGCAACTCGTGGTGTGCGTCTACGTGTCGTTGCACGCACCGCTAACCACTCAGCCACAGCGGCCGTCCAACTTAGTAGTAGTAAATATGGCGCCTAGTAGTATGCAATATTAATTACTGAAGCAACTATCAACTTAGTATTTTGTGTACCAGCTGTGTACTTTTTTGAAGCTCTCTCTCTGAAGTGTCTCATAAAATAATTTCTTTAAGCTTAAAGTGTGGCTTTTCTACTTTAAGATTTAGTAGAGCTTCTTAGAAAAAGGGATAATCTATTTTACTTATTTATTTCATTAACGTCACTTGATTTTCCGTTTTCGTGCAGCTCAAGCTCATAATGCCTCTAAGAAATAGAACCGTTTTCTAATTTCTCATAAGAATATCGAGCAGACTTCCAGCATTAATAGCAGAATTTTTGTGGTATGTTGAAAGAGTGAAAAATTTTTAATAACCTAATAGCCTTTCAGCAAGGCAGTACATTGAAAATTACATTAAATAGAGGAAAATCAAACTCGGCAGGAATGTTGACTCAGCTACAACAAAACATCATCATAATAATAATACGCGATTTAATAGCAGCGCAGGGCAAGTGGAGGGACGAACACCAAGCAACATAAGAATTCAAACTAAATTTTGGAGGAAGAGAAGTGTATGTAGAAAAAATGCTAAAATAAACAAATAAGTAAACGAAAAAAATAATAATACTGCTAAGAAAAACAAACCACCGCAGCGCAAATGCTTAAAAAAGAGCTTGCAAAGCTGTAGCCAATACTACAATACAGCTCCACACAGCCAACCCGCAAGCCAAGCCAAAAAACGCTACTTTATCGCTTTAATGTGTAGCTTACATACCTAATGCAAACTCACCCCACCTTCCCCTCCTACTCAACGAGTCCCTCTAACATTAGTGCCAACTGAGCGCCAAGCCAGTTGGGCGCATTGCAGGCAAATGCTGGTGCGATAAGCTGCTTATCTTCATTTCAAAAGCAAAGCCGCAGGATAGCCAACTAGAAAGCGCCGCAGCAATAACAAAACAGTCGTTAGTGGAGCTGTAGCAACAATAAAAGCAGCAATGGTAGTAGGGGCGGTGGCATTGGTGGTAGTTTTAATAAGAATAGCTGCGACCGCATACTAATAGTGTTGCGCGTAAACGAAATGACATTTTTGGTCGCTACCGCATAGCAAAGTAGCTCTCCCTCCTGCTTCGCCTTCGGAGCAATGGGTTAGTAGTGTGGCACAAAGCCAGTCAAAAAGAGGAGAGCGATACGCAGCTGAAGGTAATGAACACAAGGCGATGGACAAATAACAATGGCTGGCAATGGAAGATGAATTGGGGCGATACTGGAATAGGGAAGTTTGTTTAGCTGGCAGAGGATGATGTTTAAAGACCGTGCAGCAGGAATGCGCATTTCAATGCTGCGTTACAATAATTTTATTAAATTTTAAATGAAAGAGGGATGGGCAAAGGAAGTAAGAAAAAATTTAAAATTAAAATTTACAAAAAAAATATATAAAAAAGTTGGTCAATCCAAGCAAGGTGAAATATTGTTTTTTTCGTAGGAGGGCAGTTCTGAAAATACAAAAAAAATTAAGGATTTATGCATCTCTACGGAACACTTAAAATGAGAAAAAAGTTACTCAAACCACTTCACCTCAATCAAACTTCGAATGGCATAAAACTGGAATTTGTATGTGCCTTTTTCAGACATGTACTAGGTCCTTATTACTCTTGTTAAAGAAAACCCCTGGAGTAAATGTAATATTTTTTGTACTAACATGGCAATTCAGCACACTTAATACAAACGCAAGGCATGCACAAAATTACAATAAATAGAAACGTTATTAAAGCTTTTCTATTTATCTTTACTTCGCTGAGTTCAACAAGCACATTTTCTTTTAAATAAAATACCAAAACACAATAAAAAAGCATTTCTAAACACCTGGAGCACCATTCAGCACTATTCAGCACAATTTAGCGCACATTTTCGTAAGAAGATTTGCAACGCTTGGAGTATAGATAACTTAAAGTTCAAATCACATATATTTATTTATGTCAGCGCTATAGTATCAGCTTTGTATATCATGCCTGCTGCAGAGGTCAACACACGTCAATTGGCTTCTCTGGGCTTTTTTTTTCAAAACTAAAAATGCAGGACACACCAAAATGATAATAAAACACCAAAAAAATAAAAAAATACCCCTTTTTTATTAACCTGAGCGCCATTCAGCTTCATTCAACACTATTCAGCACACATTTTCTCATACCCTCTTGCTTTTAACAGCTCATTCAGCTTATTAAGCTTTGTATATCATGCCTGCTGCAGAGGTCAACGCACGTCAATTGGCTTCATGCCACACTTGACATACTCTCACACACTTGCTCAAACACACATACATATGTATTTATTTTTTCGTTCTTTCTCATTCCATATCCCCATTTTCTTCTTTAATTTTTGACTCATACTAGCTCTGTTGCTACTGCTTTGCTTTTTATTGCCCGTTGCTCGTTTTGCTTGCTTCTTCACACAAACTATGCGGAAATTCATTTATAATTACTGGCATTATCGCAAAATAGCGGCAATCAAGAAAAGCATTGCATACTGTTGGGCGTAAATGTAGAAAAATAAATACTTCGTTGCATATTTAGTGGCGTGCGAACGTGATTGGGTGATTAGCGGTCACGAAGGAGAGAGTGCCGGGCAAAATAGTTTACTATGAAAATTACTATTAGCGCTTACTTGGAAGTTAAATGGTTTAACTGTGCGAGCGATTTCGGAAAAAGGGCTTTCAAAGTGTGATCGCTAGAAATTTGACTGTCCGCAGGCAGCCATAATGTGGACTAAAAACAAGCAGAACTTTTAGCTGAGGAGTACTTTTTGCTTAACCTAACTTGATCCAGCTGCTCTAGTTAATGCAATTTCTAGTCTGTTCCGCTAGAGCTCAATTCGGTATCAAACACTTTCATCACTTTCCATATCTGCTCATGTTTGCCACACTACCCTAGGCCGAGTGTGTCTTACTGGTTGCGCTTACCATGTTAGTACTATATATGTCGGGATATTACATAGATTTTTTTTGCATTCACTTGTGAGTATTTAAAAATACCCATTTACTACCTTCTTGCTGCTCATGGCACAGGCCAATATGTTATCGCATCCATTAACAACGCGCAATGGCATAATTATTAAGTAATTAAGATGCCATTTTCTGCCGTGGGAAGCACTCCTCCATTACTTTTATATATCAACTTATTATTTCTGCCTCACAAAAGAGCTCAAGCCCGCCTTTGTAAGGGTGTCCCTGCCAATGTGCCGCCTTGCCTCCATCTTGCGAACTATTTTAAAATTTTAATTAAACTTTACCGCCTCAACGGCGATTTAACTTTTTCTTCATTTCGCTTTGTTTACAATTTACTCTGAAGCCTACCCTTCGCTCTCTCGCACTCTCTGAAGGCCCTCGCCGTTTCGCTCTTATACTTTGCTTTTACTTTAAAATTACTAGCTACAATTTCCGTCTTTCGCACACTGCGACATTCAGCTCCACTCGCCGCTCAGCTTTGTTTAAGCCGCATTGGCATTCACATTTTAATTGCATTGCGTTCTTGCTTCTCATTTCATTCATTTCTTTATTTTTTGCTTTCTTTGTCTTCGATTTTTTTCATTTGTTTGTTAATTCCAACCAACTTGTTAGCCGTCTTTGCTTTATATTCAACTTCATTTCATTTCATTTCAATTTTCTTACTTTGTCTTCTTGTTTCTTTTCATTGCATACTTACAGGCTACCTCCTTGAAGGAGTTACGCCATCGGCACCACCGGATGTCCCACCAAGGAATCCAACAATGAATCGCATGAATAATGGCCGTTTAGTCCCTGGTAACCCAAATGATTTGGGCGTTGATTTCGAGCCATCGTGTTTGGTGCGAACCCCATCGGGCAACGTCTACATTCCAAGTGGAAATTTAAGTAAGTACTTACATACATACTTATGTACAAGCGTATTTAATAGTAGTGGTAGTAGAATGCGAGGAAAAAATGCCATGTATGCGCCTGAAACTATGCAACAATTGTTGATGTAGCAAATATTCGATTACTTGCCGAGTTTCTACAAATGCCGCTGCTTTGCAAATATTTCTATGTAAGTGTGTGTATGTGTGCTGAAGTAGGTGAAACGAGTGTTAATTAAAAGTGTTAATTGAAATATTTAATTGAATGCGAACCTAAGGATACCAAGAGGCGAGAATGTGTTAGGCAAGAAGAAGGACATTGTAGTAAAAGAGGAGGTAGCAGAAATAATTTAGAAGAAAAGGCGCAAAAGAAGCTAGAAGGCGGTGATAGTATGCGATTGGGTTTTAGCTGCAAGAAATTGTAATTTGATAGCTCGAGCGAATCTTTTTTTCGCGTTTATAACTTAGAAAAAATTTTGCAGATTTAAAAAAAAAAAATTGTGTAAGTTTAAGTAAATTGGAATTATAAGGAGGGCTATGGGAAAGTTGTGAAGTGAGAAAGTCTCAAAGATGCTTTCGCAAAAAAATAGAGACAAAAACTTAACTATGAACTAAGTAAAAGAAAAGCACAAAAATGCAAGTATACAGTTAATTAAAGAATTTCAAACTATTTTGCAGTTTTATTTTGCATCTACAGCAAAAATACTTAAAACGGCAGCAATCAAAATAAAAGGATAAAATAAAAATGCTACTTTTTTTATCTAAAAACTTAATAACTATGAGAAATATATCTTAGTACCCTCCAGCGTCAATTAGCCTAATTCAGCGCTATTCAGCGTACACTTTTTGACTTATAGTGTAATTCGGCAAACATTTTGCTTTTGTTACAATGTCAAAGACACCTGAAAATTAAATTCTGATGCTACAGCGGCATTATATAGCTACATTCGGAACAATTCAGCGCATGATTTATTAGATAGAATTACTTTTATAAAGCTTTCCCATTTAATTTAAGTCAATCACTCATGACTAATTTAGCATTGATTTATGTCCACGATTTTTGTACCATTTGTTCAAAATATTCAAAGTAAATCCCTTTATTTAGAAAGGCATACAACTTCTTAACATATGGCAATCACTACATTTCTACAAAAATAGATTTCGTGGCACTATAAACTGTTTGCAGCAGTTCGGTGGAAGCGTAATTTAGTACGGCCCATATTTTAGTTTTTATAACTATTTCTTCAGTATTTGGAGAACAGTTTTCAACTAATAATTTTTAGCAAAAAAAAACCGACTTAAAAAAAATATATATATATCTATATATTTCATAATTCAATGATCGGATCTAAACCAAATTAGTATGGGACCACCTCTGAGACACTACCTTTCCGTTGCAAAAAGAATTATCGAAATCGGACGTGGTCCAGAGTTAGGCGGTAACATACATAAAAAAAAATAATAAAAAATAAAATTAAATTAAAAAATAAATAAATATTCCGACGAACTGATAACCTCCTCCTTTTTCGGAAGTCGGTTAAAAACAAAAGTTGTCCTTTGTCGGCCTGCTTAAAGTTCAAAAAAATATATGTCACTCGAAAACTGCATGTATCTTGTGAAAATAAAAACAAAGTTTGTCTTATAATTTTTTCCAAAAAATAGTGCGAGCGATAAAAATATTTAGGTGGAAATTTTCATGGATTGACCCATATAAAAAAAAAGCTCAATTACTTTTCATTAAAAATAAAGTCGAAAAATCAATAGCCCATAAATAGCACATATGCAGTATATATACATACGCATAATGTAATTCAGCGCAATTCAGCACGATTTAACTCAATACAGCACTATTCAGCACATATTCCAATGGTCGCGAAAAGTACCCTGCACGTATTTTAGGCATTTTTAATTAACCTTACTGCATTCATCCTTACTTCTTTTAATCAAACGCAATATTTATGTGCATATTTTCGCAAAATCCGACGAACTGTTTGACTATGAAAATCTGAAATAACAGCACTAATTAAAATAAAAGTTTTCCTAGCTGTGCGCAAATTCAGCAACTGCAAAATGAAGGCAACCTCACTGACAAGATTGCTGATACTATTCGCCATTTACCGCTAATGGACAAGGCTTTAGCGTGAAATATACAACATCTGAACATGTATTCACATGCTCAGATGCTTACATATGTATGTAATTAACACATGCCCAGCTAGCAAAATTGCCAGACATCTGTTAGATATCCGTCAGACCCGTCGGCAAAAGAGTCTGAAATCTTTATGATCTCTGGCCGATATCGGTCAGAAAAGCGTATGGAGAGGTGGACAGGAAGCCTAGCAGATACGTCGTCGGAAATTCTGACTTAATTACCGACGATTCTGACGGATATCTAACAGATGTCTGATCAAAAAGTCGCCCAAAATTCTGACTTATTTTTCCGATGAGTCTGACGGATATCTAACAGATTTCGGGAGAAATGTCCAATTAAAATCTGATTAAATTCACATCAAATTTATTTATTTCGTATTCAATTTAACTCAATTTCATATAAATTGTGCAACTATGTATATTTTTATTGTTTTCGCTTCCTTTTTTCGGCCTCGTTATCCTGTCTTTGGACATGTTGAAAAATTGCTTAATTCTTCGACATGCGATTTAGAAGTATGTGATACATTTTCCAATGCCAAATCTATTTAAAATAATTAAAATATATAAAATAATATTAAAAATAATAATATAATATACATATAATATAGTATGAACACGAAATTATTAATCATTTTACCTTTTAAAAGTTTTATAAAGGTGAGGTCCTTGATTGCTGTATTAGTTTTCCCTGCACTCTACGAAAATTTCGCAGTATTCTGCATGTTTTTATATATCTTTGATGAAGTTTTAAAATTTATTGCAGTTCTATTATATTTTCTTTTTTGACACTAATTTCGGAGCACACTCACTTTTGAAGTAAAACTAAAATAAAATTCCAAAAACATTTAGCCGATCGGCCTTTGGAGGAAAAGAAAAACTAACGTGTCCGCCCGAAATCGGAGAGAATTCGATCAGACACATCGCATAAGGAAATTAATAAAATTGCCCCGACACTTCGTCCCGAAATCTGTACGAAATCTGCAAGGCTTGTCTAAATAGTCAACTTTTCACTCAGACATTAAATGTCCGAATTATTATTTTTCCGAATTATCTGATATCAGAAAATGTCTGGCAACTGTGCTAGCTGGGTGCCTACTCCAAAAAAAAAAACATAGAAAGCACAGAACTAAATATGCAAAGCCATTGAAAACATTGATTTTCGCAACGAAATAGCAAACAAAATGCCTACACCAAAGCATACATTTAGGTATTTGTGCACGTATGCGCCAGGCTGTATGAATATTGACCCATCACACAGGCACACACACAACCAGTGTAATCGATGCGGATATTGAGTCGTATGCGCGCGAAATTTCAGCGGCCTCTGAGCATATACTGCCCCATACAAGCACACACATGCATACAGAGCGAGCAAGCACAAATTAACGTTGCCTAGTGTTAGGTGCTGCACAGCCCTTTTCATGTTGCCCTTCTCGATTGACTGAACTTATAACGGTTTTTGTTTAACAGTTACTGCCAATACGATTCACTTTTGTTGAACAACTTCTCTGCAATTCGAGTACAAGCATAATCTATGTACACACACACACACACACACACGCGCATACAGGTGCATACATTAGAGCGCATTTGAAACCTATCAATATTGTATGCATACTTTATGGCGTTGCAATGCGCTCGCTTTCAAATTATGCAGAGAATTTTACATTTCACCTCGTTGCGAATTAATTAGTTCAAATACATAGTATGTATGTTTGCTGCTAATTAGCTAAATGTATGCAACTGCACTCACATACACATACACAAACACAAATGCATGCAAGCATATTTAAGAGAGCCCAATAAAAGTTTGTAAAATGTTAGGATATTCCTATGCAGGAATTAGAAAATGTTGATGAAATCGCTTTACCCATTAATTATCATTAAATTGACTTACACTTCATACTTAGTACATTGACACATATACAAATTTACATAAACGCAAACACGCACACACACGCACACTTAAATAGCCATACATATGTGTACCTTAGGGCTTTGCTGCTTTGTTAGCTATCTAATGAATATTATATTGAAAACTTGCATAAATAATAAATATGCGGCGTAAATATTCTCTCGCAACTCAAACAAGTGAATAAGTATCTATCTGGAGTAGAGAAAGCGAAATGGCGTATATATTAAGGGCCACTTTGCATTTTGAATATTTATTAAATATAGAGTAGAGCTGTTAATTAAATTTGCACGCCTTCATTTATTTGCTGATGGCACATTTTTAGGTGTTAGAAAGCAATTAACAATTACAAAATTTTGTAAATCTTCTGATAATGCGAAATGAGAAAAAAAGTAGCAAAAAGTTTCTTGATTTTATAGACAGCAATAGTATATCTATTTGAGCTTTCTTGCTTTAAGGCGCTTTAAGGGGCAAACTCTGAGTTGAGTGACCGAAAAGGAAAAGCAATCAAATTTATATTACATTTATGAAGTATGCCTTAGTGAAGAGCGAAGAAAATACAGTGTAAAAGCTTTGATCCAATTAAACCAATTAAGCTGAAAACGAGCTGATTTTAATTATTGTGTATGAAAAAAAATACGGATACTTTTTTGGTTTTTAGTTTGCTTGTTCGAAAAACAAGACGTCCGAAGACGGACGGACGGACAGACGGAAGGGCGGACAGGCAGTCACCGCTTAATCTCTCTCTTTCTCATAAAAGCTAATCAAAATCTTTTTTAAAACAAATAAACACCAAACAACAGCCTCAAAAAATTTAATTAAAAAATTCAATCTTAACCAGCCCTAAATGCCAAAATAACGTAAGCGACATTTTTTCAAAATTTGCTTTTTGATGCAGAAATTTTCCTAGAGCATCTAGATGCATTTCTGCATCAAAAATAAAATTTTGAAAAAAT